CTGGAATGGGATCTCAGGGAGCCGGTGAAGTGCCAGAAAGCTATTTCTCAGCTTATCTGACACTTGGATTCTTCTTTTCGGCTGCTGAAGGCCTGGCGCTGAGCTACACCAGGCGAGGCCCATCGTGGCACGGCTCTGCAGCTCTCGGGGGAATCCTCACGGCTCTGAGGCTCAGATGTCCTGCGCTGCAGGGCCGCCAAGGCGGCTTCCACCAACCCCGGCCGGCTGAGGTCGGCGGACAGCTGGGTGAGCGTGCTTGCTCTCTTTTAGAGACCAAGACCAAGCTGCAGTGGCGAACCCACTGCTGGCCGGAGGACAACCTGCCGCCGCCTCACCTCGCCTCGCCTCGCAGAGCCTTCGCTCCGCCCGTGCCCCGCCCTGCCGCCCTGCATTCTCCATCCGAAAATAATAAAGCAGCAGCTGTCCCATCCATCCCTCCCACTTCCACCAACCTCCAGTTACCGCATCTGCTGCTGGTACGAATGTGTTTCACACACTCATTATTCTTTAATGATGCCTGTTTGTAAATAGCAAGATGGGATGCAATTAAACCATGAGAGGCTAAATAAACACACATCCTAATTAGGGTCTTTACAAGAGACTTTCCTTTTTCATGTATAGACTGGAATTTACCTTTCATTAATCTAACTTAATTGCAATAGTGCACCAGTAAAGAGTCAACACAAATTAAGTGCTCTAAATGATTTTTCCCATATTAGGGGGAGCGAGTGAGCCTTCCTTTGGGTACCAAGCCCCAGCCTGCAGGAGCAGTGGACGAGTGGGACCCGGTTCCTCTGAGCATCAGGAGAAGGAGCTGGGCAACAGGCTGCGTACTGCGCCATTACCAGAAAGCTCAAGTTAGCGAGGTCAAGGGCAGGGGTTCAAACTGCAGCCTCCCCCCGCCTATGGGTCACCTAGCTTTGCTGGTCCCATGGTGGCATCAGCACCTCTTACACCTGTCAGCTTTCTGCCACTGGTTCCAGGAGGGGCAGAGCAGGGTTTAGATGAACTGGTTCAAATCCATTTCCACTTCCAGCCACATCTGTAGGAAAAGGAATGCTCTCCGGTTTCAACCTTTGATTCTAGAAGGTGTGAAATCACATATGCACTTGGCAACTAACCTGAGGTAGAACAGCATGGTATGCAAGCACTGGTGGCAATCTTTTAGCAAAGACCTCAGACCTAACAGTTCACCCTTCAGCAAATGCTGACAGAGGCGTTCCTGGGAGGCAGGCGCCGCTGCGGGGAACGCGTCACTCACTCTAGGGCCCTCTGCCTCTCAGACACGACGTGTCCTCCCCTAAGCACTGATGCTAGCCACGGACCACCCTCCTCTCGCTGCCACACAGGCACGCGTGGGTCTGCAGGGGCCCAGCTTCCTTCCCGTCCCCCAGCTGCGCCAGCGGCACCTGCCTTACAAGCAGCAACCCTGAGAAAAGCCAGGTCTGCAACGGACTAGGGGGCAAGAGGGCCAAGGCCACGGCCGCTGCCTTGAGGAACTGAGGCTCCGTAAGCTGCGTGACTCAGAGAGCAGCGGATTCCCGAGCTCCTGACTTCATAGCGCGCATCTGGAAAGTTCTCTGACGCTTCCCAACGTGTGTTCCATGACAAAGGGTCTGTGGTGGTCCAGTGCAGCGGAGGAAGTGCACACTCGGAACCTTCCCCTTGGAGGGTCAGTGCGTGCGGGTCCGGGTCAGAGGCTCGGACAGGGACTGCGGCGAAGGAACCTGCTTGGCTTTGCTGAAGCAGTCAGCACCTCTCAGGGTCTCTGTGCTTACCAACTTCCTTTAGAACTAGTGTCCCAAGAGACCCACTTTGGGAAACACTGTTCCATTACCAGAATTCTAGAAAGAAGAAAGGGGCGTCAAAAGTCACAGCAGCCGGGGTCCTGTTCCCTCAGTCGGACACCTGACCCCACTCACCCTGCAGGCGCATAGGGACAGGAGCGCCACCGTCCCTCCCTGACCCCAGAGCCTGGACTCACAGCAGCAGACCAGCAGGGGCGCCACGGATGGAAACGGCTCCCTGACCGAGTGTCAGGGACAAAGATCTATCAACTCCAAGACATCCCAGAACTTTCAAAGATTCACTCTTAAGCTCGTTTTTATGGTTACATTATCAGTCTGAAAAACCTAGCTTTGCAACACCATCACCAACAGCCCTGACTTAATCACTGTGCAGATCATATATAAAAACAAAACAGAGCTTAAAAAAAAATCACTCCATGTTAGCGAGCAGATGTCTAGCCCATTTGCAATTAATACGACCCACTTCCATACAATCAGACTGCTTAAAATTCCTGGAACAAGATGTAAAAGTTAAGATGCAAATGTTCTGATTTTAATGAGAATGAATGGAAACTATAAAATCCTCTCTCCCTTTGAGGGTAGGTACAATCTACATATAAGTCCCAACTGCACGCTAAATTTATCAACACAACAATCATTTGATGAGGGCTCTGTGCAGGAAGAAAATAGAACTGGGAAAGTCAGAAAGCATTTCCCACCAAAATTAAATTTTATCAAAACCATTTTTCTTTTTTGAAAGCTAAAAAAAAACAAAACCCTGAACTCATTTCAGTATGTTCTCCCTAGTCCCCTACACACACTAGGAGTTTCTTATGGTTCTGAGTCTGTGTGGCCATTTCTAGTTGTTTTTTTTTTTTTTTCAATATTTATTTTATTTGATAGAGTTATGGGGGCAGAGAGAGAGAGAGAGAGAGGGAGAGAGAAGATGGAGGGAGGGAGGGAGGGAGAGAGATCAGTCTTCCATCTACTGGTTCACTTCCCAGATGGCTGCAACAGCCAGGGCTGGGCCAGGCTGAAGCCAGGAGCTCCATCCAGATCTCCCAGGTGGGGAGCAGGGACCCAAACACTTGGGCCCCCGTCTGCTGCCTTTCTCAGGCCAGCAGCAGGGAGCTGGATCGGAGTGGAGCAGCCAGGAAGCGAACTGGCGCCCACATGGACTGCTGGTGTCCCAGGTAGCAGCACCACCCATTGCACCACATGCCGCGCCCCACGCGACCTCTTCCAAGAGCAGAGGTGGCAGAAGAGACCAGGACGCTGGTGTTTCGAGGCTCTCTCTTCACATCGCAGCTCCACTACCTGGCCTGAGTTACTACACCTTCCAAGTCTGGGTTCTTTTCTGGAAAGTGGTGACGGCACCTTCCTGTGGGGCGTCGGTGTGAGACTCGGGCCAATCTGAGTTCTGGGCACAGAGCAGGCACACTCAGCTGCGGCCATGATCAAGGTTATATTCCTGGTGGCAGGGGTGAGCCATTCTAGGACTCAAGGCAAAAGCCATCATCCAGTTGTCTCTCTCCCTGCCTGGAGGGCCCTTCTGGGGCTTGCTGGCTCAGCTTCCCACCTGGAGCCAATGGGCTTCTCAAGATGGGACCCCATCTGACCCGCTGCCCCTTCCCCACAGCTCTGGGGAGGAACGGACACATCTAACCGGAGCCAGCCCGAGCCTCCCCTGAACCACTGGCGCCTGACACAGGGCAGCACCCAGCCGGGCTTTGTGGAGTTGAACAAACATGAGCTTTGATTCCCGCAGCACCGAGCCACTTGTCTTCACCCGTCCAACAGCTCCAAACGCTGTCTCCTTTGTGCCAGGCTTGGTTCTACGCCTTCAGAAGAGGAACCAAAAAGTGTGCAGGCTGGTTTTCTAGAGCTCCTGGTCACGCAGGGCGCATGCTCCAGGCTGAGAAGGGCAGCGGCCAGGCACTGGCCCTCCTTTCATTTTTTAAAATATTTATTTATTTGAAAGGCAGAGGTACAGAGAGGCAGAGGCAGAGGCAGAGAGAGAGAGAGAGAGAGGTCACCACCTGCTGGTTCACTCCCCAGATGGTCACAACAGCCAGAGCTGTGCCGTTCTGAAGCCAGGAGCCAGGAGCTTCTTCCAGGGCTCCCATGTGGGTGCAGGGGCCCAAGGACTTGGGCCATCTTCTACTGCTTTCCCAGGCCACAGCAGAGAGCGGGATCAGAAGTGAAGCAGCTGGGACTTGAACTGGCGTCCATACAGGATGAGAAAGTGTTGCAGGCAGTGGCTTCAATGGCTACACCACAGCGCAGGTCCCTCCCCCCGCCCTTTCATCTTCTGTGACAGGAATAAGCTCTGTGCAGTCCAGGCACTCAGAAAGCATTTGATGGCAATAACCAAATCCAGAGGCTAAGGCTTCAAAGGCCCAGTAAAGCTCCTGGCATTATTCAGAAACACCCAGACGTGGGAGGCGGTGTGGCAGGCGGGGAGCGCCCGCCCTCTCCATGGGAGGCGGTGTGGCAGGGCAGGGAGCAACCGCCCTCTCCATGGGGGTGGCTGAGCAGGGAGCGCCCGCCCTCTCCATGGGAGGCTCTGTGGCAGGGCAGGGAGCGCCCGCCCTCTCCATGGGAGGCCGTGTGGCAGGACAGGGAGCGCCCGCCCTCTCCATGGGAGGCCTTGTGGCAGGGCAGGGAGCTCCCGCCCTCTCCATGGGAGGCCGTGTGGCAGGGCAGGGAGCGCCCGCCCACTCCATGGGAGGCCGTGTGGCAGGGCAGGGGAGCGCTCCCCTCTCCATGGGAGGCCGTGTGGCAGGTGGGGGAGCTCCCGCCCTCTCCATGGGGAGGCCGGTGTGGCAAGGACAGGGAGCGCCCGCCCTTCTCCATGGGAAGGCCATGTGGCTGAGCAGGGAGCGCCCCCCTCTCCATGGGAGGCCGTGTGGCAGGGCAGGGGCTCCCGCCCTCTCCATGGGAGGCCATGTGGCAGGACAGGGAGCGCCCACCCTCTCAGGCTGGCCGAGGTAACATCTCAGCCTCCCTGCCAGGTGCTTGGGCACGACCT